GTGTGTGTGTGTGTGTGTGTGTGTGTGTGTGTGTGTGTGTCAGGGGTTACATGTGAGCTCCTGAAGAAGTCAGGAGAAGGTAGTGGAGGAGCCCGGAAGCTGGAGTTACAGGCTGCTGTGTGTCCTACCTGCCTCAAGTGATTGTCTCCTGCAGGTCACAGCTGTAGACCCTCAAAGCACAAACTCCAATAGGTTGTCATTGCTTGCCAAGAGAAATCAGCCTAAGATTTGTCTTGTTAACTGGTTATGAGGTGGCCAGGTAATAGTTAATTTTCGCCTGACTCCTGTAATTTGGCCACTATAATTATTTGCTGAAAGCAAGCTAGTAGCTTTGTATGATTACTGCGCTCTAGTCAGGGTTTCTATTGCTGTGATAAAAGATCACGGCAAAAGCAATGTGGGGAAGAAGGATTTGTTTCATCTTACAGTTTGCAGTCCATCATCCAGGGAAGTCCGTGCAGAAACTCAAGGCAGGAACCAGGAGGCAGGGACCGATGCAGAGACCATGCAGTAAGCAGAGGGGTGGGTGCTGCTTACTGGCTTGCTCCTCATGGCTTGCTCAGACTGCTTTTTTTTATAGAACCCAGGGACAGCACCAACCACAGTAGGCTGGACTGCTGTGGAATAATCCTTTTGAACACTGTGAAGATTTGTCACTGTGATTGGTTTACTAAAAAGCTAACTGGCATGTAGCCAGGCAGGAAGTCTATGCAGGACAACCAAACTAAGGACTGGGGAGTAGGGCAGGGTGAGAGGAGCTGCCAGCAGAAGTAGAAGAAGCAGGACGTGTAGAAAATGAGGTAACTAGCCATGAGCCATGTGGCAGATGGTAGATAAGAAACATGGGTTAATTTAAATACAAGAGTTGGCTAATAACAAGCCTGAGCTACTGGCTGAACATTTATAATTAATAATAGGACTCTCTTGTGGTTATTTGGGAAGTGGCTGCCAGGATGGGAAAACTCTGCTTACCCTGGACTCTCCCACATCGTTCATTAATCAAGAAAATGCTCCACATGCTTGCCAATGGGCCAACCTGGTCAGGGCATTTTCTCAACTGAGGTTCCCTCTCAGATGACTCCAGCTTGTGTCAAGTTCATAGAAAACTAGCCAGCACAAACTGTGTGTGACAGTTATTCCCTGCTTTTAAACTAATCAGATTCACATCTGGAACCCCTGCTCGATTCAGCTGGTCATTTACATCGAGAAAAATACAATCTAAAACTGAAGCTTTGAGAAACCGGTTTATATACGTGTGCTATTCCTAGGTCGGAGACTTGTAATACATCTCGTTCACAGACTATTCAAAGTTCACTGCTCAGGAGGAGGCACAGTGTACCGGGTATGAACAGGCATGCCACATAAACTGGAAATGATCTCAAGTGGCACAGGGTAAACAGGATCCTCGGAAGCCTTGGCACCAAAACTGGCTGCAAGCCCCCACACCAGGGCTCGCAAGGCTCTGAAGGCAAAATTTGCTTATCAAGTAGTTGTGCAAATATTCAATAAAACCCCCAAGTCTTTAGCAGTGTTTCCTCACCCCAGTGCCAAGCTCATACCTGATGCAAAGAAAAGCATGATGAACTTTAAAAGGGCGGTGGCAAGTCTGAAGTGCAATCCTGTATCTCGAAGTAGAGTGCTGATTTCACAAGGAGATTAATCTGCAAAGAGACTGAGAGCTATGTCTGAGCTTTTGTTTTGTTTTTGCTTTTTTGAGACAGGGGCTCTTTCTGTACCTCAGTGTTGTGGAATGCTGTCCAGACACCCTATCAGCCATTACCATCTTAATTAAAGTAAGTGTGAGTACAAAGAGATCTTCCCAAGACTGGGGGTCCCTCATAGGGAGGAGAGAGAGGGTCATCATACCTCCCTCCTGCATGTCTCCTCCCCACCCCCGCCAGCGCTGCATGTGGTCCTGGGAGGAGCTGGTGGAAGGTTAACTAAAGGAAGGTCTCTATGTGAGTTTTTGGAGGTCATCATCCATGCTGGGCTCTAATGCACTCATGCACTGGGAAGTAAGCCTAAAACTTCTCTAAGCTGGATTTGGATAAAATCATTCCTTTTGTATGGGGGAATAGTTGTTCGTTCATATCTCCCCAGCAAACATGAATAAAATATCCATGTTATCCTGGAACTCATTATGTAGTCCAGGCAGGGCATGAACTCATGGCAATTCTCCTGTCTCAGTATTCTAAGCACTGATATGACAGGTGTGAGCCACCACACCTGAGGCATACTATTTTTTTAAAATCATAACAAATCTTCCATATCTTGCTATCACCTAAAATACTAAAAGCTTTGCTTATATATTAAAAAAAAATAGACAAAACCCAAACTCTGACAAAAATATCCTGTTTTCAATAATATATTTGGAAAAGAAATAGAAAAAGCACTATTTTTTAATATAACTTTAAGCTGAAGAAGAAAGTAAAAAATATTAAGCTTCAAATATTTGACAAGTATCAGGACTTGTTTTTATGCACTTATTTTTAGTGTATGTGTGTATGCATGTATGTATGTTTGCATGTCCCTTGGGAGCTGGAGTTATTGGAGGTTGTGAGTCACCTGCTGTGGGTACTGGGAACTGAATTTGAGTCCTCAGCAGGCCTGGTAAAAGTTCTTAACTGCTGAGCCATCTCTCCAGCCCTGAGATATGCTTTTATAAAAACAGAGCAAGGGGTCAGGAAAATGATTCAGTTGGTAAAGCAACTGCTGCAAAAAAAAAAAAAAATGAGTACCTGAGTTTAGATCTTCAGAACCTATGGAAAAGATTGAGCATGGCTGTGGTGTGTGGCTGGCTGTGCTGTGTGCCTGGTTGTGGTGTGTGGCTGGCTGTGGTGTGTGCCTGGTTGTGGTGTGTGGAGGGCTGTGCTGTGTGCCTGGCTGTGCTGTGTGCCTGGTTGTGGTGTGTGGCTAGCTGTGGTGTGTGGCTGGCTGTGCTGTGTGGCTGGCTGTGGTGTGTGGCTGGCTGTGCTGTGTGGCTGGCTGTGGTGTGTGGCTGGCTGTGGTGTGTGGAGGGCTGTGGTGTGTGCCTGGCTGTGGTGTATGGCTGTAATCCTAGTAGGGGGAAGTAGACACAGATGGGTACCTGGAACTTTCGAGTCAGCAAACCTTGATCAGTCAATGAGCTCAGTGTATATGTAGACACTCTCTCAAAAAATAAGGCCGAGAGCAACAGGGGAAAGCACCTGCTGACAACCTCTGCTCTGCATGTGAATGAATACACACATACACACATGTGAACACATACCCAAGCAAGCAAGCAAGCAAGCAACATATACATACAAGACTGAAAAAAGATTCATGTAGGTGCTAGAGAGATGGCTTAGCAGTTAGTTAAAAGCACTAACTGCTCTTCCAGAGGATCTGAGTTTGGTTCCCAGAACCCACATGGTGGCTCACAACCATCTGTAACTCCAGCTCCAAGGGATTCCATGGGTCTTCTGATCCCCCTGGGAACAGATATACATGCAGGCAAACACTCATTCACACAAAATAAATGAATCTTTAAAAAAAATCATGTAGATGGAATGCTTACAAAACTTTCTGACTGTATGTATTCTCCAAGCCCTCTTCCTCTCCCGACTTCAAATACCTTATAGGTGAGGCCGCCTTTTCTGAGGAAGGGAAGGTACTGTATGTTGGTAAATGATAGTAAACATTTAAAGTTATAAAGGTCTATTTCAACTTAACAAAATATTTATACAACCCAGTCCATCCTGTAGGCTGTTTACAAAGGTAAAGCTTCTATTACAAAAGGGGACTTTTCTCTACTTCTTTGTCCTGTAGAGGTGTAAATCTATCCTACTAAGTTAAAACCAGTTGCAGTCAGTCTAGAGGACTCTAATTAAAACATCCCTCCATAGCCTCTCAGCTTCAATCAAGTTTTCCAGACAGATCCTACACTAATCTGTAGCCACCTATGTGCTTAAGGCAAGTAACTGAAGACAAATATTTGTCTATTGAGATATACTAAACAGATCTAGAGAATATGGCATTTAAAATTTTTTTTATTAAAAAGCTTTTTATAACAGAGAGATAGGCCAGCTGCTGGCCCCACCCCATTTCCTCCAAGAAGACTGGTGGGCACTGAAGAAACTCCACCCACAAAAGTGGCAACGCTAGCCATTGATCGATCCTGCCTTTCACCGCAACTGCTGCAAAGTACTTTTCAGACCATGGACAAGAGGACAGTAGAATCAACTTTCTCCATGTTGCTTGGGCCAATGGTAGGCAAGTCTTCCTAAAATTCCTAATCCACAGGTCCCATGCTATCAGCAGAAGGCAGGTCTTCTTAAAGCGGCTGCCCTCAACAACTACGGAGGACCTTGGGAGAGGCTGTCCATGCAGTCAGCTAGTAAGTCTCTGTTATTCTTTAATCATTAACTCAGGTAAAATGTTATCCTTCTCAAGAACTCTGATGCTTTTGACGACTGGTAGCTTTGCCAGCTTAAAGCAACAGGCAAAGCTCCAACTGTCACAAAACAGATTTCAGGAACAGGTATTTTAGGGTTTATCTATGTGAAGATGGTAATAAGGTCTAAATATAAATACAAGTTATGAAAGTCTGAAGATAAAAAGGCTTAAGCGATGACAAATAAAGTGAGTTGAGACATTCAAAAGAGTGAAACACCTTCCAGATTTCTCTTTCTCATTATGGTAATGTTCATAGTCTTAACATTAATCAGTAAAGTTTTAATAAGCGACTAATCCAACTCTGACAGAGTACAAAACCTCATATTATACCACTTTATGATAACTGCAAAGTTAAAGTCAAGGTTCTTCTCATTGTCCTAAAAATATGTGTCAGTTTTAAAAATGTTAATACTTTCAGCCAAGTTGTTTCTAACACAAATAAGCTGCCAATGTGTCTAATACGTACGTTTTCACGAACTCAAAGGATTCTTGTAAGTTCCAGGGAACCGAACTGGACCCACCCAAACAGGTCAGATTCACTCTAGACATTATTCAGTCTTTCCCCGGTCCTGGGATTCCCTTCCCTCATCTTAGGACCCCCCTCCCCCAGGAACCCCTTCCTCATCTTATGATCCTCTGTTCAAGTACCAGAACCTGAGAAAAAAAACTTTTTCTAAACTTAACTTTGTCCTCTGCTCTGCCAACATCTCGCCAGGTCTAAGAGGCTCCAGAGTTCCATACAGCCAGGACTTCAATGAAACAACCAACTCCCCCACGACATGGCAGCATCCCAGCTTTCTAAGGTTCCCCTAAGGATGGTCAACATCCCCCAGGTCAGCAAGAAGCAGTCTTTAGAACTCAAAATCCTTATTCCCTAACCTGCCACGCCTAACTCAACCACCTTTTTAATAATAAGAAATGGTGTGATTATTGGAACCTGGTTATCATGCTGACCCCACCCCCTGACAATGGGTGGGGCATGCAAATCTGCATTTGGGCAGATACTTTGGCAGCTCAAAGGGCCCTGTGTTGCATGGACAAGTCATGGCTGTGTCACTCCTTACCGGGCTGGTAAGGAGTATGCATGAGCAATTTTCCCTTTTAAGTGAGCACCTCCATGTGTTCGCCTTTCCTCTTTGCTCCCTTCCCCTTCTTCTTCTTCCCCTCTTCTTCTCTTGCTCCTCTCAATCTCTCGTCCCTCGCTCCCCTTCTCTCTCTCTTTCTTCATCTCTCCTCCCCCTCTCGCTCTCCTCACCTGTAATAAACTCTATGGTTAATGTATCTTGTGATCGTCTTCCATATAGCAATCTAGCATGCCTCTTTAACTTAAGCAAAAGAACAACACTGTATACTTGTATACTTGCATATTTACTGCAAAATAGGGATGAGGTCGTAGCTCATACAAGGTCTCCATGGCAGAATCTGTGGTTTACTGAGTAGGATGCAGGTCCAGAACGGTTATGATTTAGGACAGGGAGGCTGCAGTAGCTACACGAAGTCAGCAGAACAACATAGTGGATAAGATTTGTAGTGTAGATTAGAACCAGGGCTGTGGGCACCTACACCCACTTGACTCCTACTCTCATAATGGCAGCTTTTTCTTTCTATTCCACAATAATGATGAATATCAACAACCACTATTTATTGAGCTGTTCTGAAAGTTTCTACATAATTGTGCACACACACTATTTTTGTTATCTTCACAAAGGCCCCAGAAGAAAGATACCAATACCAAGTCATTTAATCCTTCCTGAAAGGGCTCTGAGGTCAACCTTATTTGCAAATAGACACGAAGAATGTTAATACTTAGCATTAAAAATTGGGCTTCGCTTCAGAGGAAGAGAGCAGACGGAAAATGGCTACTAAAGGAGTGAGCTTTACATCGTGCTGTAAGAGCTACTACTGGTCACGACAAAGCAGATGAGACATTCTGAAGTGTTCTGAAGGTCTAACATCAAGACTGAGAATTAGTCCTCTGAATTCCTCATTCCCTTTCTGGAATTTGGATAAGCCAGTCAGCTATGTGGGGAGACAATCCATAATATTTACTGAGTACTTTTCAGTGAAATACCCCTTCTGGAGCCATAGAGTCCCAGAATGTAAGTGCAGAATAAATGTTGCCTTGATTTAACGGACATAGGCTTGGGCTCACAAGAAGAAAAGTGCCCCGTAAATTCCACATTATCAACTAATGGGAAATTTTGTTTTGTTTTTCGAGACAGGGTTTCTCTGGGTACCTTTGGAGCCTGTCCTAGAACTTGCTTTGTAGACCAGGCAAGCCTGGAAACTAATGGGAATCTTGCAAGAAAGAACTAAATGGGAAGTCATTAGCAGAATGGTTAAACAACAAAAACAAAACAAAACAAAACAAAACACTTCCAAGTTCCATTTTAGGAGTAACAAGATCTATAGAATTGAAGAATTTAGGGGGCAACTGCTGTTCTGTGACCAATCAAGTACTGGTCTCAGCCTTCCAGGGCTCTTCCTGAACCATAATAGTTTAAGCAAGCCTCTCCCTTGCATCTATTTGGTTTCTACACATTATCCCACCTTATCTCTGACACATCCAGGCAGGAAAGTGAACATACATATTTGCATAAGATACAAGGCTGTGTAAACAAACCCTTAGCTGGTTAAAGGGCACCATGTTATAAATTGCCCTTGTTATTATTTTTAATGGGCTCTCTGCCTCTAAAAATCTGTTTTATATCCTTTAAAAAAATCTTTCTGTCTTATTCCCCTTGGGTGCTTTCCACCATTTGTTTTTTAAATGTACAACTCCAAGCTCTCTGAATTAACTCCCATATTAAAAAAATTAAGAATAAAAAAATTTACTAATGTATGTTTTTAAACTAATGAACATAAATTTTCTCCAGAGCCCTTAAGTTGCCAATTAGCTAATAATTCGTATTTCCATTAATGGGTTAAAATGGGATCTACTTAGAAATGTACTTTGTGAGTATATTTCCGTCATGAATATGAGCTCCAGCTTGGAGATGTTAACTTCCAAGACTTTTTGGGTCACACCAGATTTTTCTCTTTATGATTTTGCAGAGGTTAGTGAAAACTGGACTCAACTATTGGCTAGAGACTGAATCACAGAAAGGAGAAAAAGATGCTTATTATTCAGTGAGTCAACAAAGAATGTGCTCTGCCTGCTCATTATTACACCCTTTAGAAATGCAGGCTGAGCTTGGAGACAAGCAAAAATGCAGAAAATGATAAACACTGAGGCCTGTGCTTCCTCTTCAGTATATTGCTTCTCAACAAGATCGCTAATGTCTTACTGAAAGCCAAAAAGGCTCAGAAGTCTTTAGGATTAGAACATCAGGAAGACTTATAACAACAACAACAACAAAAACTTGGGTTACTGTCAATAAGTCACTCCAAATAACTGACTGGGAAATGTATCTGAACATTGAGTATTTTTAGACTGTCTTTGTTTTTAGTTTTCAAATACTAGATGATTGGTATTGACCTTTGGCTTGTCTTGTTCTCTATGGCACAGCCAAGACCAACTCTGAGGTATTTATTTACTTAGCTAACTTCATCATTAAGGCTGCCAAAGAGGATCTGGGATGGCAGTAATGCAGGATTGCAGGTTTGTAAAAAGGATAAATATCATTCAGAAATGAGCTCACGTGTTTTCACAGCACCCATATGAGTATACGAAAGGGTCATATTATTTCTACTTTATAGTGAGGAAACTGAAGGAATGAGAAAACAAACACATCGGATGTTGGCGTGGACCGCATGGTGACTACTGCTGTTTGACAAAGTTCAGCCTTTCGACACTGCAGACCACACTTCTTCAGCACCTTTTTGCTTTCATTTTCAATGATTCTCAATATTAATGCCTTTCCCTCTGGAATTTTTTTTTGTGGGCTTTGGTAAAGGATGAAAATGTATACAACGGTAGCTTCACTAAACAAAATAATTATCTGGAAAAAATCCCCACCACTGTGGAGCCCAGAATTCCAATGTAGGTTCCTAATTATACCAAGAACAGGAATGCTGGAGGCATACCTGATCCCAAGGATGAAATACCTACAATTCAGATCCAGAGCCTGAGGCCACGAAGGGCAAGAGTTCAGTTAATAAGTGTAGAGAAATCAGAATGGTACGGTATAATGGGGAAAGAGTAAGACATCAGGACCTTCTCTTTTGGGAGCACTATGGGGGAACAGGTCCATATAATAAGACTAAGAAACTGTAGTGTCTGCTCCCCAGAAGTCCTTTCCCAAGGTCAGGATAAGGGCCTCCATTCCCTTGGGAGCTTGAGCAAAGTTCCTCTTGATAAAGCAGTCACTCTTTTTTTTTCTTTGTCCCTGTCTTTCTTTCTTTCTCCAATTCTTTCTTTCTGTCTGTCTGTCTGTCTTTCTTTCTTTCTTTCTTTCTTTCTTTCTTTTTTTTTTTTTTTTTGAGACAGGGTTTCTCTGTGTAGCTTTGGAGCCTGTCCTGGACCTCACTCTGTAGACCAGGCTGGCCTCGAACTTATAGAGATTTTTCTACCTCTACTTCCCTAGTGCTGGGATTAAAGGTGTGCACCACTACTTCCCACTAAAGTGGCTATTTAGAAACAAGCTGGTTAACATCCTTCAAGTGGTCACAATTCAGTGCACATGAAATTTCAGTAATAAAATCACGGAGTTCAGCGGGAGAAAGGATTGTTGTGGGATATTACTTTAACTGTGTAAAGGTGTGTTACATTTGTTTGTGCTGCATTTGCTGAATTATGTAAAGATATGTTGCATTTGGTATACCTTGCTTGCTTAAAGCATCTCATTGGTCTAATAGAAAGCTGAATGGCCAATAGCTAGGTAGAAAAGGGGTAGGTGGGGCTGGTAGTCAGAGAGAATAAGTAGAAGAAATCTAGGCAAAAGAGAAAGAAGGAGAACAAGGGAGAAAGAGTGGAAGATTCCTGGGGCCAGGTAGCTGCCAGCCTGACAGACTAAAGTAGCATTGGAAGTAGGGCACACAGAAAGAAAGAAAGGTAAAAAGCTCCAAGGCAAGATGTAGATAAAGAGAAAGATTAAAATAAAAGCTAAAATAAGCCTGAGCATTCATAACTAAGAATAAGTCTCTGTCATGATATGGGAGCTGGTTGGTGGCCCCAGAAAAGAAAGCCTGGTATACAGGATGGAGGGTGACTTGAGCTCTCTGGAAAATTCAGAATGGTTTTGTGGGGATAGGATCTAAGCCAAGTCTTAATAGGTTGTGGGTGTTGGACAAAGATTCCAGGGTAACAGAGGGGATACAGGAGCAAAGACAAAGAGAGTTTATTTAGTTGCTGCATGGAACTTGGGACAGGGGCAGATAGAAGGAGAGGGGAAGAATTCAGTGTTTGCAGATGTGCTTGTTTGCTAACTCTGTGGCAGTGCGGAAGAGAACAGGGTGGTAGTGTAATCACTTGGGCTGTTGCAATGGCTCAGCAAAGAGATAACAGACATAGAGCTGAGCAAAAGTGGCGTAGAAAGGCACTGATCTGAAAGATAGCAGAGATACCAATCTAATCTATGTAATTTGGCAACTGGTTGGACACTACCTATGAAAGAAGATGAGTAACCATGGTTCTGAAACATCAAACAATTTTACACTTGAGTTTCTCTTGAACTAGACCTAAGGGAAATTGGATGGGAATGTAGGTCTGATCATCAGGTCAGATGTAAATCTAGAAAATCAGCTGGAGAGATAAGGTGGCTAAAGAATAACCCAGAGTGCAAACAGCAAAGGGGTAAAATTCAGGAAACACCTGCATTTTTGAAAGTATCGAAGGAGGAGTGAAGGAAGAAAGGTTATTTTGTCACCTGAATGGTAAGAGAGATAAGACAGAAGTGCTTTAAGGCATTAAAATCAAGAGGTTTCGGGACAGCTGAATACTGCTGAATGAACAAACACGAAATTCACTGTGGCCACAGAGGTCAGTCACATCCCAGCTCCTCAATTCTGAAGCCACCTGCTGAATTATCACAAAAGAAAGAAATGGGCTTTTGCAAGAGAAACCTACTTGTCATTTTACCAACGGTTAGTCATTGCAACTCATTACAACATCCAGTCTTCACTAAACTTAAAAAAAAAAAAAAGTCACTTGCATCCTACACTTCTTTTCTTCCACGGGCTTTTTAAGTAACTATTATTAGTCATGTTCTTAGCTTTGCTTGCCCTCCTTCCTTTTTGAGGTCCTGCTTAGTTGCTGGGGCTTCTGAATCAGAGGTAGGTTGGAGTGTAACCCAAGAGTGAGATAGATTAGTATTTGCTAACTTCCTTAAGCCTAGCTTTCCACGTGTGCAAAAGGGGAATGATCATATCTACATATTAGAGTCTAGAAAAGTGAGCTATTGAAGGCAACACCCTCACGTGGTTCTGTCGTCACAAGTTCCATTCACTTTGCTGTTATTTATTTATTTTTAAAAAATTATTATTTCCCAGAGGGCAGAAGACTATTCCTACTGTTCCTCAAGTTATAGGGTACCGACCTGGGGACCAAGTGTCATTCTGTCAGCTCTCAGAGAAACATTTTCAGGAAGAGAAGGGCAAATAACTGACGACTCCCAGGGACTGTGAAGCCCACCTATGAGGACTGGCCGAAGGGCCAGCGGAACTCAGAACGCCTGGAACCTGCGTGGCCTTTACAGGACAGGACTACAAGTCCCAGGACGCAGCGCGCCACCAAACAGAAATTTAGCAAGGCGCCTGCGCATGGGGCTGTAGGCCAGGCGAAGGAAGCGGTGCACTTTGGGACTAGTAGTTCCCAGGTGGCAACTCCGGGGGTCGGAGGTGGGTCGAAGGGACAGCTCCCTGCCCAGTCCCGCCTTTTGTCCACGTCCCGCTTCTGCTGGCCAATGTCCCGTCCCGTAGCTGTGGGCAGCCCCTCTCCGAGGCAGTTTCCATTGGTCCTGAGGCGATCCCACGGCTGCTCTACCCGGAAGTAGCCTTGGGGAGGCGGTTTCCTAGACTACGACACCGGAAAGCTGGGGGCGGTGCTCTGGGCCGTGGAGGGCGGAGGGTGGTGGCAGCGCTGGCGCTCCTGCCTCACCCCACAGCCCGCCCTCCCCACGGCTCGCAGCCTCCTCGCCGCCGGCGGCCCGCAATGTGGCCCACCGTGCGGGTGTAGCAGCTGCGCGTGCGCGGAACCGCGGGGCCATGAGCGAAGCCGGCGGCGGTCGGGGCTGTGGGTGCCGGGTCCCCCAGCGAGCGCCATGGAACCTGGTGGCAGCGACGGCCGCTCTCTGCCTGGTGTTGGCCACGTCCGTAGGCACGGCGAGGGCCGCGCCCATGAGTAGGGAAGAGAAGCAGAAGCTTGGGTAAGGGTGCGTGGCTGTCCTGGTGGGTTTCCTGGCGAGGCTGCCCGCAGTCGAGGCGCCTGTCATTCTGCGCCCCCGGCGCGCAGGGGACTTTGGCTGTGGTGACTGGAACAGCTGCTGGTGAGGCTGGAAGGACCTCGGTGCGGTGGACAGGGTCCAGGAGGATGGGGGCCGATCCCCACGACGTGACCTCGGGGGCTGTCGGTGTCTTCCCGGGCAGCCGGTGACATGTGCTGTGTTGTGTCAGCCGCCGCTGCCATGTCAGGGGCTGGTGGAGGGGCTGCCGCCTGGGGCGGGGAGGCAGGGGCGGGGGACGGGCTCCTCTTGGCAGAGGAGGGTTAAGAGTTCTCGCCCAAGCGAGCTCCCAGCGGGAAAATGTTGCGCTGTTTACACCTGTTAAAGGAAAAGGGGCGTTCACTGCTGGAACTTGAACTTTTCCGTTGTCACTCTCCCCTTGGCTGTGTTTTCTTTCCTATAAGGCAGGCGATTTGATGTTATTTGAAGGCTTCGATTGAGTGTTTACCCTCCCCACCCCACCCCCCACCCCCTTTAGCGTAGTTTCATGAATCTTGAAAGTGTTACAAAAACTCTATAGCATTTGATTCAGTAATTCTAATACATCCGAAGTGGCATACATACAGATACATAAGAACAAATTGGAGACTCTGTAGAAGTCGGCAGAACCGTGAACGGTTAAACGAGAGAGGAGGAAATGTGTGCGCGTCGGTAGCAGGAAGAGTTAACTGTGAGAGATGCTATTAAAACAGCGAGGTGGGTGGGTTTTGCTTGTCTGGTTAATTAGCACAGAACACCAGGATGCGGCACTGGTTAGTGAAGATGTGAAAAAAAAAAAAAAAAACTTGGTAGGAATGTAAATTCATGTGACCTATTGATACCAACTCCTGAATTTTAAATTGTGCTTGTTCTTTGACTCATTTCTTTCTCTGGGGATCTGCCTTGCAGGAATAAAAGCACTGTTAGAGATAAGTGTATAAAGGGGTGCATTTTGAAAGAACAAAACAGTTCCTGGGAGGGAAATGGTTGAATATGCTGTTTTGTTCCGTATTGTGGAATAATAATGTTCATACATTCAGAAATAGTTCTGTAATTAGAAGGCTTATCCAGGATCTGTTCCCAAGATAATAATAAAAAAACACTAAAGCAAGTTGTAGGATAATATATAAATAGTAGCTGTACCATTTTATAAGAAAAAAATTACCCAGATTTAGACAAAAATAAAAGGTAACTTATCCTATAATGTTAGGATGAAAGGTAAGTAGAGTCATTAGGTTCTAATATATATGGTCCTTTATTTCAGTCATTGCAAAAGAATTGTATTAATTTTTTAAATAAAAGTAATAAAAATCAGAGGAAAACAAGATGAAGTATCAGCTATTCAAACAAAATTACCAGTGAATTCTAGTATTTTGCCTTTTTTCTTTATAAGTTTAATGTATTATTTGATGACATTTTAATGACTTCCCCACTCCGTAGGCATTTAACTTATGCCATCTCTAAAACTTATGTCACGAGGTGAATGTTATCTCCATTGTGCAAATGAAGAAATTGAGATTCAAGGTTAACTTGTTCAGAGTCTCAAAGCTGGTCATAGGTGGAATCAAATTTTTGTTTTCTTTTTACCTATATCTGATTTCATGTTGTATGCACAGTGCTGTACTTACCAAAGCCTGGGGGGTGTTATTAATTCCAGTATGGTTACAAATATTTTGCTTTTTTATTAAAATTTTTTTTTTTTTTTTTAGTCATTGGCCAGCCAGTCTAGACAAATCAGTGAGCCCCAGGTTCAGTGAGAGATCCCATCTCAAAAAATAAGGTGTAGAGTATGTGTGTGTCACATACACTGGAATTGTTGTGAACAGTTACTTGCAGTTGTATACCTGATATATAGTATTATCTTTCATGGAATTGTTTTTTTCAGGACAGGAGGTCTTGCTAATATTTTTGGGTTTTGGCTAGTATAGATCAGTACAGTTAATACTGATGTTGGAAGGCAACTACTGATATTGGGAGGCAGTGTGACTTTAGAAAACAGTTGATTTATAGAAGTTATTTAAGAATGAAAAACAATTTTAAATGGGGGGGTCAGATTTCTAGTATATCTTATACAATTGTCAAGTAGATATAAAACTATAAAAACTTTTTACCTGTTTAATATAGTCACTGTGCCATTCTATACTTATGCCCACTTTGAAGTTTATGTTGTGGAACTTGCTGATTGTATGTTGCAAAGATGCAAGTGTGTCTTCATATGCAATCATAATTTACCACAGCTTTGAAAATTCATAGTTCTCAAAGTTGAGTTAACAAGTTAGAGTTTTTCACCTATGATGCACTTTTAGGCTCTGGCATTCCCAGTGGCAAGGAACTTTCCTTCTTGATAGTAATCATTTGTTCTATTTCAGGGAAGGAAGAGTTTGCATATCCCATTTTTGTGTTAGTGCTTGCAGGTTTTGTGGGGCCTTGCCTTGCTGCTGTTTGAGAGATCGATTTCATTTTCAAGATGAGTGTCTAAATGGATTCTATAAGATACTCCTTAATTTTCTGAAATTCCCTGGATCTGTGTAAACTTACAATGTTTAAAACAGGAGTAGGGAGATTTTATTTTTATTTTTTTTACATTTGTGTGTGTACCATGGCACGTGGAGTCAGAACACCATGCAGGAATCAATCTTCTTCCAGTATCTGCATTCTTGGGATCAAACCCAGATCGTTAGGCTTTGTGGCAAGTGCCTTTACCCAGTGAACACTCTTGCCAGCCAAGGTCTTGGTTTTAATGGTTAGGTGTTTTAAAATAGTTCTAAAAAATTGTCAGAACTATTTAGGTCACAAAATGAAGTGTACTTAACTTTGCTGGTTGGTCATGACAACCAGGGTTGAATATTAGAGCTTTTCTGCCTGGCAACTTTATTATTATCAGCATTTCACCATCCATTGTTCTGAAAATGACAATATAGTATACTAGGTAGGAAAGTAAATATAACTAGGCATTTTCTTCACTCCTTTTTTTAGTCCTGATTTTAGTAATGGAACTTTGTGAAGAGAAGAGATGGTAAATACTGGTCTCACTGTTTTCCTTTGCCGATTATTGGATTTGGCTCTGTCCGGCTCTCACATTAACTTTTGTAATAGCATGAGAAAGTCCTGGTCATGAAAATGCTCCATTGTGAAACTCATTCCTTAGTTTCTGAGACCTTGTGGGCTCTGATTTAGTGAATACGTTTGGGCATTGAAACCTCCGTTTTAAACAGCTGTATTGGAAGTTGAGAGAAACACATTTTCTCTCTTCTCTCCCTTTTCTTCCTCTGCTAACCCCCTCTGCCCCGGCTGATCTTAAGCTTGTGATCTTCTAGCCCCAGCTTCCTGAAAGCTCCAAGTCTCCCTTGGAGCTTTAAAGTTTTTGTTTTTGAAGTGAATTCTACTTTTTCAGGGTGTTTTTAAGAGACCAGAGTACGCCAGAAAGTGTGTCCTTTGTAAATGAGACAAACATAGTATGTACTTAAACTAGGCATTAGTGGTTTACCCAGTTTAATGGGAAAGGCACAGGCATGAGAAAATGTTAGTTCATATTAGTCTGACACACCCCACTCCCCTTGGTGGGATATATAGAACAAACAATAAATGGCACTTAAAGTTGTTGCTTTGAGGAGTTGTATAGAAACATCCTACCCCAAGAATAGGTTACATAATTATATTAATAGCTGTAGTGTTTTTATCAAAACCAGCTTTCCTTCTCTGCCATTATGGCATGGGTCATTCAATAGTTTTCTTAGAAAAAAACCAGCATTTTATATAAATTACTAGGGCTAGGGATAGTAAAGGTCTGGCCCCACCCCTTGTGGTGAGGTAATAAAGACCCTACTCACTCTGTGGTTTCCTTCTATTTTTTTTTTTTTTT